CGTACTCGCTGAGCTCCACAGCCCACTTCACCAGTCACCCAGAAGTGTCTGGCCTTTGCAAAATCTGTCGCAAGGGAAAGTTGGTGAGGATGGTTATTCTGTGAACTTGGAAATATGGACGTAGTCTCCGAGCCGAAGTGACCAGTGCTAACGCCAATTTCTCCATTTGCGGGTATCTAAGCTCTGCATCTACCATTGCTTTGCTTGTGTAGTAGATTGGGGACTGTAGTCCGTTTTCTTCTTTTATCAACATGGAACTTACTGCAGCGTCGGATACAACTAAGTATAAGTAGAGTTCATCACCATGATTGGCTTTGAGAGGAGTGGGGCTGCCCCCAGGTACTACTTCAGATCTTTAAAGGCAGTCTCACACTCTTCTGTCCATTCGAATTGTCCTTTCTTCCTCAGGATTTTGAAGAATGGCAGGCATTTGTCAGTCGAACGGCTAACGAATCTGTTGAGTGCTGCTATCCTTCCGTTGAGTCCCTGTAGTTGCTTTAGAGTTCTGGGTGGATCCATCTTCAAAACAGCTTTGATCTTATCTGGATTGGCTTCGATTCCCCTTTGGTGTACTAAAATCCCAGGAACTTGCCTGAGGTCACTCCAAACGTGCATTTGGTAGGATTCAGCTTCATCTTATACTTTCGCAAAACGTCGAATGCTTCTGCCAAATCCTCCTCGTGTCGCTTGTTCTTTCGACTCTTTACCAGCATATTGTCTACGTAGACTTCCATATTTTTGCCGATTAAGGCTGCAAACATCCGATTCACCATTCGTTGGTAGGTCGCACATGCATTCTTCAATCCGAACGGCATCACCGTGTAGCAATATAAATCTCGACTCGTGACAAAAGAGGTTTTCTCTTGATCCGGTATATGCATCTTGATTTGACTATATCCAGAGTAGGCATCCATGAAACTCAATCTTTCATGTCCTGTGTCATGGTTATGCTCGTCCAGTGCATGTCGCCCATGGCCGCATGTCCATGATAGCCTCTTCCCTCCTACTTTTATGTCATGTATTTACTTTTGCATGTTATTTACTTTTCATTGTACTTTTAGTGGCGAGTGACTCCTCGCCACTTTGCATGTTCACGCCTGCCAAAGGCAAAATGCTTTATAATCTACCTTAGGGGGGTACACCTAGTCTCCTCCCTACATTGAGTTGTATTCTTGTCTTGCCGCTAATCTATTCTCTTGCATTCAAGCATACAACAAGCTTTCCAAAATATCTTCAAACGTTTTCCAAACCTTTTTTCTCTAACCCCGTCTTCCAAAACCGTTTTCTCGAGAACGGAGGTGGAGGTTGCGATATATAGCCGTGGTGCCGCCGGCTATCCGATTTTTGTTGGCTGACTTGCTCGTGGGCAAGAGCAAGTGCCGCACAATCGCTTTGTGAGTCCTTTGAAAAGTGCGATTGTGACACCCTGCAGTGGCATCAACCAATTGATCTATTCGAGGCAAAGGAAAAGAATCATTTGGACAGACCTTATTTAGGTCTGTGAAGTCGATGCACATTCTCTATTTGCCATTTGGCTTCTTTACCAGCACTACGTTGGATATCCACTAGGGATAATATACTTCTCGAATGAAGCTTACTATTAGTAGTTCCTCCACCTGTTCAGCTACAATTTCGTTCCTTTATTGGTTGAACGCGTGATGCTTTTGTTTCACTGGCTTACAGCTCTCGTCGACATTGAGTCGATGTACCATGACTCCTTGGTCGATTCCCGGCATGTCCTCCTGCGACCAAGCGAACACGTCGGAGTTGCTTCTGAGGAAGTTTATAAGGCTTTCTCTTTCCTCATTCCCCAATCTGGTTCCAATGTTGACTCGTCGATCTTCGGCTATCAGAGGAACAAATTCTACCTCCTCAGCCGGCTCTCCCGTGTCAAGGGTGGTCTAATTAAGTCGACGACCAGGGCTCAGCCTTGCCTCACCCGAGAAGTCGGTCGCTTCATTCAGGCTCGACGTCGGTTCT